AACCTTTCACATGTACCACTTGTGGAAAAGCTTTCATTCAAAAACGCAATTTGACTGGCCACATGAGAACTCACACAGGTGAGAAGCCTTTCTCATGTCTCACCTGTGGAAAAGATTTCCTTCAAAAACGTAGTTGGACTTTTCACATGAGAAGTCATGCAGGTGAGAAGCATTTCTCTTGTACAATCTGTGGAAAAGATTTTACCCAAAATAGTTGTTTAAATCAGCACATGAGAACTCACACAGGTGAGAAACCTTTTGCCTGTATAACATGTGGAAAAGGTTTCACTCAAAGATGTAGCTTGAATAGTCACATGAGAACTCACACAGGCGAGAAACCTTTCTCATGTATAATCTGTGGAAAAGGTTTCAGTCATAGATGTAGTTTGAGTAACCACATGAGAACTCACAACTGAGATGTCTCATTAGAAGGGCTCAAAAAGTTAACAGGGTTTAAATGGGCTATAGATAACCATTTTCTAGATAAAAATATTCTCAACTATTCTCAACTTCTCAATTTTAATGTATTGTACTTTTTATTTTGTACATAGTTTACTATTAATTTTCTCAATGTGCTCTGAGCAAGTATATTTGATGGTGACACAACATAGCAAAATAAAAGTCTCACCAACAGAAAACAGATCTGAGTACTTTGCATGTTCTCTTTAGTTTTGTGAGTTCACTGTGGTGTAATTGTATATTTAGTTACTATAAAAGTTAATATATTATGAAAAATATGCTTGATATTTGGGGCCTGCCCCACACAACGCATGGCAGGCCCCTGTTTAATACTTATTTTTATTCCGTCACCATTAATGCAGCCCGAACCGCTGTGTGAAACCCCACAAAATATGTCAAAATGAACGGCCTGGCCTCAAGGAGGAAGTTACTTCTGTTGGCGTTAGGCCTGTCACGATAACAAATTTTGCTGGACGATTAATTGTCTAAAAAAATTATTGCGATAAACGATAATATTGCGTCAAGACCTTTTGACACTGATTTAATGGAAATGACTAAAAATACATGCAATTTCCTGATAGATACACCTTATTTTCAAAATAACACGTAACACTGGGACTGAAAAACTAAATAAACAAAACAACCAAAAATAAAATGGATTCTCAGTCTCCATTAATAAAAAAGACGTACTTGAATAAAAACTAAACAATAAATAGTGCATTCAACTAAAAGAGTGCAGATTATGAAGTCTATTGCCCTTCAGTAATCTCTAGATTTAAATAGAAAAAACGGGCACATCCGACTACCTAATTAGTTCACACTACACCATTTTTTTGCCCGTTTTCCCCTTATGACAATCTTAGATCGTTGGCCGATCTAACCGATCATCCTGCAGTGTG